ATAAGCTTGAGGTTCTGGATTACTAGGTTCACTAATATTTGATTCCATTAGATCGAACCATTCTTTATCTGTTTTAGAAACTAATTTGGATCTAATTTTTTTGTTATTTTTTATTTCTGGTTTTGATAACCATTTTATTAGTTCATTTATAGTTAAAACTAATTTCTTTTTTTGCTCTCTATGTATTTGTGTTCTAGGACCTGGACCAGCTTCGGGATCTGCTTCTGGAATATCACTAGTTAAAAGATCAACTGCCGGCACACTCGGCTGGGCTGGCTGGTGTGTTGGTGGGTTTTTGTCAAATGATATTAAATTGTCTTCAGAGGCTAGTGCTAAATTGTCTACTGGAGCTGGAGCTTGAATAGTGTTTTCAGTTTAAGATATATTTTGCGCTTGCATTAGTTGCAAGAGAGCCTGACATGGTCTGAATCGTGTTAAGTCCATATGCTTATTAAGATCTCTTGTTTTCCTAGTTTTAGAGCTCCATCCACATCCTGGATATTTACCTACCATATTTTTTAGTGTTTTTTATTATATATTGATTATTCAGATCCTTTGTTTAAATAAAAAATATTTATTTCACTTATATATCCTGTCTACTTACAAGTTCATATTTAGATAGGTATAGTTAACTAATTTTCTTTTTTTCTGAACTAGAGGAGGAAAAGAAAAGGTTTTATGTCTTGCAATTTTATTCTCGCCAGCTCCGCCTTGTTCAAAGCCAGAATGAAACTTAATCCTACCTTCTTGCATATATGCTTGAAGTCAGAAAAAACTTGCAAACAGAAGGTATAAAAATACACCAAAAAATTAGTACCGATTTTAATGATTTTTAGCTTTAAAAACTTGCAGACTGAAGGATGTAAAAACACACCACAATTAGTCACTATTTTTTAAGCCTACCTTCTTGTGACTTCATCACTTGAAGTCAGAAAAAGAAGTTTTCATACGAATAACAATGTGATTAATGAGAGATTTATGTTTGCCTCATCAGTCGAATGATGAGAGATTTATGTTCCCTTCGTATAAAAACACCAAAAAATTAGTATCAATTTTAATGGACTAACGAAAAAAACTCGTAAAAGAGAAGGTGTAAAAATACACAAAAAAGTTTGCTCACCTTTCCTGCTGCTATTTTGCTTCAAATGATGATTAAAATTTGTATAACATAAATATAAAAATGTGATTATCTCAAAACTATATTTTATCTGATTTGTTCTTTTTCTATTGACGTCACCCCATATGAATTTTAAACTAAAAAATATATATATTTTTTAATTCTAAAAAATCAGCAAGTATGGAGAAAATTGAAAAACTTTGTGCAGTTTAAAAATAGCAAGAATATACTATATCAAGTATAAAAAATACTATTAATAAGGCTAAACTATTTTAATTTAGTAGTTTATATTATTCTGTATTTTCTTTTGACTCTTCTTCTCTTCTTTTTAGTAAAAAAATTTTAGGATGATTTTGTCAGAAAATAAATTATATTTGAATAGCTTGTAATATAAGTCAAATATATACAAATAGCAAATCTATTCTCATATATATTTTCAATATATCATTTTGTTATTACAATGCAATTAAATTTGAATTATGATCAAGCAATAATAATAAATTTAATCTCTATAATTGGTATACTTTTTTATAATCATTTTTTTGTATCTCAAGAGTATAACTATAGAGAGGCTTGACTATATTTTTATTTTACTAAATTAAATATCAATCTTATTTTGTTTCTAATATTAGCATTGAAAAGATAAAACCCAGAAGCTTATTTTTTGTCAATTTTTAAAATTTAGATTGAATTTATATTAATTGGGTTAAAAAAATAGATCTAAAATTAACTCAAATTTAATTTCATTTTATCTTTAATATTAGCATTAAAAAGATAAAAATCTAAAGCTTATTTTTTGTTAATTTTTAAAATTTAGAGTGAATTTATATTTATTGGGCCAAAAAAATTGATTTAAAATTAACTCAAGATCAATCTCATTTTGTCTTAATATTAATATTGAAAAAATAAAAATCAGAAGCTTATTTTTTATTAATTTTCAAAATTTAGATCAAATTCATATTAATTAGATCAAAAAAAATCAATCTAAAATCAACTCAAATTTAACCTTATTTTATCTCTAATATCAGCATTAAAAAATAAAAATTAAAAGCTTATTTTTTGTTAATTTTTAAAATTTAGATTGAATTTATATTGATTGGGCCAAAAAAAATTGATCTAAAATCAACCCAAGATTAATTTCATTTCATCTCTAATAACAGCATTAGAAAGATAAAAATTGGAAGCTTATTTTTTGTTAATTTTCAAAATTTATATTAAATTTATATTGATTAGGTCAAAAAAAATTGATCTAAAATTAACCCAAAATTAACTTTATTTTATTTTTAATATTGATATTGAAAAGATAAAATTAGAAACTTATTTTGTACTAATTTTCAAAATTTAAATTGAGTTCATATTGATTTGGCCAAAAAAAATTAATTTAAAATTAACCCAAAATTAATAAAAATCAGAAAGTGATTTTTTAAAATTTAATCTAAATTTTTTTTACCAAATTTAAATATCAACTTTATTTTATCTTTAATATTGTCTAAAAATTAATTTTTTAATTTTGTTAAAATTTTTATTATTTTATTAAATTTTAAAAATTGAAAGCTAATTCACTTCTGATTATAACAAAAATATTAGAGGTCGATTTACATGTTTTTGACTAATATATATTAAAAAAATTTATTATTATTTTTTTTTTTGAAAAATTTACTTGATTTTCTTTAATGATTCCTTATTTTTATGCTTTCAACTATTATTATTTTTAAAAGCTATAAATATTTTGTGAATATTTAAAGCAAGACTAATTTTATCCTGCAAATATTTTTTCTTAAATTTTTGAGCTATACTATTAAAATTAATTTTATTTGTCATTTAGCAAAAATATATGTAAATATTTAGTAATACTAGCTTAGAGATTTTGATCAATTTAGTGGGAAAATGAAAAAAAATTGCAAAGAATAATGAGTTTTCTTTTTTATCAAAAAACTAGAAATTGTTTAGTTATTAATAAACTAATAATTAGATACAATAGATACTCTTATAATATACTATTATTAATTGTTTTATAATATTATAATTTTAATTAAGGGTGTTAGTTTATACCGACCCCATAATTGACCAATCAAAATCAATCACGTGAATCATGTAACTTTTATTAAAAAATTTAAGTTTTTTATTTAAAAAAAAAATACAAAAAAAAAAAGCTAATTATAAAATGAATGCCGTTGCATAACCAAAATTTATTATGCTTATTTAAAAACCCACCCATCCACCTTCCCACCTGCTTTATTTAAAAAAAAACTACACAATAAAACCATCAATGGCAGTAAAAGTTCCTGTGACACAAAAGTTCGCTAACAAAAGTTCCAAAGGCACCAAAATTACATGACAATTTCAAGACAACGACTCCAAAGAATGATGACTCCAAGACGATGACTTCAAAAAACGCGTGCAATTCGAATTTTCAAAAATATAAACATGGTTGTATTTACTCATACAAATGCATTAGCTAAAGATTTTC